GCATCCACATGTGTGTCTCTGTGTGTGTCTGTATCTGCATGTGTGTCAGAGTGTCTGTCTGCACGGTGAGAAGCAGGGGGAGCATGGGGCAGAGGAGAAGCGGAAATAGCCTGGGACAGATGAAAAGCAGGGAGAGCCTGGGGAAGAGGTGATGCAGGGGGAGCCTGGAGCAGAGGAGAAGCAGGTGAAGTCTAAGACAGAGCAGGGTGTGCCTGGGGAGTGGAGATGCAGGGGGAGCCTGGGACAGAGGAGACGCAGAGGGAGCCTGGGGCAGAGGGGACGCATGGGGAGTCTTGGGCAGAGGAGACGCATGGGGAGCCTAGGGCAGAGGAGTCGCAGGGGAAGCCTGGGGCAGAGGAATCGCAAGGGGAGCCTTGGGCAGAGGAGACACAGGGGGTGCCTGGGGCAGATGAGACATAGGGGGAGCCTGGAGCAGAAGAAAACAGGGAGAGCCTGGAGCAGAGAAGAAGCAGGGGGAGCCTGGGGCAGAGAAAAACATATATATTTTAAATATTAACTATATAAATTAACAAACATTTTGATAATATGAGGGGTACAATTTATGGAAATAGGCTGACTTGGGGTACTCAAGTGAAAAAAGGTTGAGAACCAATGCCCTATGAGAGTCTGTTTTTCTCATTTCTCCAGAGACACCTATTCCAGAGCTCATTGCTATTTATTTGCTAAATGGCACCTACATCAGAGAAAATTGAAACAATTGATCCTCAAGCCTGCACATGGAAGGCTCTTTCTAGCCAGCCAACTTCTTAATAGGTAATGGTAAAAATGTCTCCCTTGGACCTAAGCTGCAGAAATTCCAGAAATTCATTAGGGGGGGTGGGGGGGTGTTTAGAACGCCATGCCTCTCCCCTGACAGCTAAACCATACACAAAGAAAAAAAATCATCAAATGAATAGAAGGGACTGAACTCCCGAAAGAACATGCCTAACAAGGTTGTTGAAAAGGTAGGGGGAGGAGCGAACAACTTTGCAAAATGCTTTCTATGAATCAAAATGACACACAAGTTGTTCACTCCGGCCCACTGAAAAGGTTGGGGCCAAATGTCCATCAGCCAGTGAAACCCAAGTCGACCACATACATAAAAACAAACAAAGGCATTTTCACCAAAATAAAGAGGGCGTGGTGCCCACTGACGGAGACATTTCATATCCTCAACAGAAATGGGAGGTGTCAGGTTAGTGATACATATGAGAAGGGAACTTCCCACCTGGACGGTTGGACCCCATACCTGGGTTTAAATGTGTAAACTCTCCTAGGGGGTATAGGCAAAACCTTAATCAAATGGATGGTTTAGGGAACACCTACAGAAGTCAAGGAATACCAAGGCCACCCAATGAATGGGGTATAACAACAATTTATTCATACAAATTGTAGTGAGGTGTAAACACTAGTTAAATAATGCAAAATACATTGGGAAGCTGACTTATGGGACAAGTTAAGTGTGGAAATGTAGTAAGAAATGGGTATAAACTCTATACATATGATGTAACAGCTGAATGGTGATATTAAAATTGCATTGATCTCACTATATTTGTGGTGTGCTAGGGGGATCATCACAGATAAAAATAACATATAACAAACTTAAGTTTGTTAAACTCATACATTTAAAGAAATGCACGCTTAATGACTAAATAACATAAAATTATATCATGTATAATCCCAGCTGTAATTCTTCTCCTTTGAGTTGTTATAGAATACTTTGAATTACAAGTATCTGTTTTTGAAGGGCATATATTTATTATGTTAATTCCACTGAGCCTAAAAGATAAATATGTGGACAAGTGCATGGTTTGTGATTTACAATTGTATCTTAAAGGACCACTATAGTGCCAGGAAAACATACTTGTTTTCCTGTCACTATAGGGTGTCTAGGCCCCCCACCCTCAGGGCCCCCCTCCTGCCGGACTCTAAGGGATGGAAGAGATTAAATTTACCTCTTTTTCCAGCACCGGACGGGGAACTCTCCTACTCCTCTCCTCCTCCATATCGCCGTCATCGGCTGAAAGCGCATGCGCGGCAGGAGCCACACACGCATTCAGCCCGTCCATAGGAAAGCATTCTCAATGCTTTCCTATGGACGCTGGCGTCTTCTCACTGTGAAAATGAGACAGCCACTAGAGGCTGGATTAACCCATTTGTAAACATGGCAGTTTCTCTGAAACTGCTATGTTTATAGAAGAAAGGGTTAATCCTAGATGGACCAGGCACCCAGACCACTTCATTAAGCTAAAGTGGTCTGTGTGCCTATAGTGGTCCTTTAATAAGTATCTTAATGTATATGAAGATGATCCAAATAAGAGTCTTGTGGATGTTAATGAATTAGCATTTTCACATCCCTTTAGGAGTTTACAAAAATACAAAAATAACAAATCATATAAGTATTATTAATTTAAAGAAACACTACAAGCACCATAACCACTACAGCTCACTATAGTGATTGTGTGACATGAGTGCCCTGGCGACCTCCCCAACTTACCTGGGGTCATTGGCTGAGAACAATTAGCTGACACGCTCAGCCAATGAGCTGGTTCTGCACTGCAGGGCTTAGATCAGGAGTGATAGTTTCTGTCTCTCAATGGGGTACTTTCAAGTAACCAGGGATAGATAGATAGATAGATAGATAGATAGATAGATAGATAAACATTTAAGGGATACTATAGGTATCAAAACAACTTTAGCTTAATGAATCAGGTTTAGTGTATAGATCATGACCCCGCAGTCTCACTACTCAATTCTCTGCTATTTAGGAGTTAAATTGTTTTGTTTCTGTCTATGCCCCAGCCATACCTACCCTGGCTGTGTCTCACATATCCTGCATGAAAAAAGTATTTAATTATCATCCACATGTTAACTTACTTTAGACATTTTTATCTCATGCTCTGTAAATTGAACTTGAGTCTGGAAGGCTGTTAAGCAAGCAGGAAATGATACAT